GGTACCGGGTAACGAGCGGCAATGTTGTTATCTTAATTGGCCATGCTGGCTTATGGTGGACTGAGCTTGTCCCTAGACAGGGCCATTATATTTTATAAAGTATTTCGTGTTCTAAGATTTTTTAGGTATATGAAATGTTTATCGGGTCTGCTGCTATTCCTTGCAGGAGTGCAGGGAAATGTTTGCACTCGGTTTTGTACTGGAATTCAATCAAATTGAATTGAGTAGAATTAAGTCCATATTGGCTTCCAATTTTTCGAAATCAAAACTAGTACCTAAATATTTGGATTGCTTGTTTGTGTATTTGATTAAATCAGTCAGAAATAAAAGTCAGAAATTGTAGAAGCTATATAGTATACAGCTTTTATAGTATTTTGTAGTGGCTGGGCAACGGCTGCTTTGCAACGTGTCTTGGTTTCTATTTCCACAAAGAACAACACTTGTGTGATCCACAAATTTTTGATTCACGTATGGGTGATTGATGTTTTTAAATACGTCCACGACACAAAAGAAAAGACTAGTGTTAGATAACGTTTAAAAAACTCCTACGATCTGTTAAATCCTGTTGCCATTACGAGAAACTATGAGGTTTTAATTTCTGAGATGTCTAGCCATAAATAATGAAAGCAACATCCTTAGTATAACCTACAAGACAACAATAAGAATGACAAAACGCGACGTCATAAAACGGTTCCGTCGAGACTGTTCAGTTCATTAGGAACACTAAGACAATATACCTGAGCGGTACCGACTAGTTCTAGAACAAAACAACCACGAATTGTGCTATTTCAAACACCTGGCGTCTCCCAAACGCTTGATTAACTCATAAAACCTTCCATCCAACCTAGTATATCAACTTATTTATTGCACAAAGCCCTATTTACTGCAAGAAAACGGTCAGCCGCATTTTCTCGCCCGAAAATCAACCTTAAAGCAACGCAATAAAGAAGACTTCAAGGTCAAATGTTCAGGGTTGTCCTGACAGAAGGAAAATACAGAAGGGTCTATATTAATTACTTTAGGCGATTAGTTACTTTAGATAATTACTGTTTGATCAATTTTTACGATGCTTTCCAATTTGTTCTACTGATGTGAGTTAAGTATGTGCGTGTTACGTTTCCTTTGGAAAATACCTGTTAATTATCTTTTGGTATGAAAAGAGATATGTTCCTGTATTTTTTCAATGGTCGATTTGATTGAATTTAGTCCTGTCTCATAGATAAATATTTTTAGTAGATTTTGAGACTGTATTTGTTAGTAAAATGCCAAATAGTTATGTATACTTCAATGAAGTATATCGTCTTGTTATAATTACACATTAAAGTGCAACTTCATAAAATTACATTCGAATGAAAATTGGAGCACTAAAATATATGTACCTAGGTAAGTACATCGATGCGCGTGGAGTTTTTTCCCAAGAAAACTCGCCTACACGTATGGCGCGGTGGCTGGGCAACTGGCTGTGTGATTCACAAATTGTTGTTCCAGGTCTGCGTGTGATGTGTTTGTGAAATTGTATGTTTGTAAATGCACCTACGACACAGGAGAAAATCGTAGGGTAGGACAACGTCTTGTGGAAAAAAAACTTATAGGCTATTTTTTATCTCGTTACTACGGGCAGTCAAAGCCGCTGACAGAAACTAGTTTTAATATATTATACACACAACGCAAAATTAGCCAAAACGGGTGTTAACAAGACGAACGGAATATAAATCATCAGTTCATTTCTGAATAACATAATGCGAACTAGTGCCAAAGTTATCTTCGAACCACTTGATTAACTATCACAGCTGGTACGCCAACTGGTATGGGTGAACATAATTTATTCATTATTTATGTAAATAGTTATTTCTATAGAGAAAACCACTAGTACATTTACAAGACAAAGGATAAGAACTGTAGAATTTATTTCTAAGACATTCTAGAGCTACGGCTACAGTCGTGGTACTCGTGGTGGTCCGGAGGTTAACGTGCCCGCTTCTCGTTCATGAAGGTGCGATTCGGAACCTGCTAAACTACCAATGTGACTTTTTCCGAGTTTTAAGTACTTTCTAAGATTGTTTAGACACCACTGACATATGGTGAAGTAAAATATCTTGAGGAAACCTGGACTTATTTGTTATTGCCAATCCACTTTGATCAAACGCGGTGATTAACGCTCAAACCTTCTCCGTGTGAGAAGCAGCCTTTGCTCATAGAATGATGATGGTTATGTTTCTTGATTTAATGAATTCTAGCTGTTCCTATCGAATTTTATATATTTTTTAACTTTTAAATTGTGGTATTTCGAGATACAATTGAAGAACAATATGTTTCCAACTGCAATGGACATTATCCAACCCGAAAAACATAAAACGAATAAAAAAAGCAATGTACCTATTCAAGCATGTTCAAAATTTATTCTTGTAGATGTAGATATATACCCATAGATAAAGTATTTCTACATAATAATAATAATATAAAACTTCTTTATAAAACATGTTTTAGTGACTTGGAAAGTTCATGTTAAAACAGAACCCAGAGCAAGTTTTAATAAAGACCTGCCAACTGCACGTCTTTGTAAAGAAGTAGATATATATACATATAAACATGTACATACTTATAATATCTAATGTATTATACGTGGAGAATGAAGCTGCATTTATTAAGTAAACTTTTCTCTTTGGCTGCTAAAATGTTAACTATCTTTTGAGGCAAAAAAGTTTCGTCCCTATTCATTCTCTCTTATGTATGTATAGTCAGGGGTCAAAAATGCAAAATTACACTCTACCAATTTTAAAATGACCAAAATATCTTTGTAGAATAGAGTCAATGGTTGAGGACTGCTTTAATTTATTGCATAGAATCTAAATTATTGAATAAACTGGCTGTGAACCATTGAACTTTTACTACAACGAAATTTTAGTCATTTTAAAATTGGTAGAGTGTAATTTTGCATTTTCGACCCCTGACTGTACATGGAATCCAAGACATCTCTGACGGAACCTACTCCCATGTACCATTATGTTTGTCCCGAAAATATATATGTATACATAGGTCGCTAGTATTAACTATACTTTTCTCTTTGGCTGCCAGAATGTTCCGTTATCTTCTCAGACAAAAAATGTTTTCTCCTTGTCTATTGTATCTAATATAATATAAATCCAAGACATCTCTGACGTAACCTTCGCTTATATCATGTTTTTCCTGAAAATACTTATATATAGGTACATATTTAAAATGCCACAATTCCCCCCCATAACCCCTTTACAAACCGCGTTCACCAGTGGAAAACATCGTTGTCAATTTTGTCATGCGAGCTCTAGCAATCGGAGCGAATAATTTGTGCCGCGAGCGACGCCATAATCCGGCCTTTTGAATGTATCCTGCACCCCAAAATTGTAAGCTAATAGCCCAATTTTAACCTCAAAGAGATTCCGCTATATTTCATAGGTACTAGCATCTACCAGCGGCTTCGCCCGTGTAGTGATGCAAACGATTGACTGTAAAAATTACTAATAAAGTCACAAATCCTACACACCAAAACAAAACACTGATTAAATTTTTGGGAAAAAGTTCGCCAGGTATGATAAGCTCAACTGCTTAGAGGATCTTTAGGGATTTTTACTCTCTAAATGAAATCAACCCTATTTGTTATTCCCGACAGTAATCTAGCTCTTTGTATATTATATATTCATAAAATCTATTCAGTAGTTTTAATGTGAATGTATGGTCATTCATCAATCCATGCTTACAAACTTTTGAATTTCCATTATCCATAGTAGGTTTGGTATTTTGGCCATCAATCAGCTTTAGAACTCAGAATTTAAAATTCTTACTTATTTAATTAGGGATTAAATATAACTTTGTTGGTACTCCTCTTCTTTGATACACATTTTTATGTATATTTGGGTAAATGAATATTAAATTAATCGAAAAATAATATAATAATAAAGAAATATTTTTTTACAAAGAATAAATATCTAAAATACTTATTGCACCTACATCGAGAGGGCTGAAGTTATAATCCCATTGAAAGAGAGGAAATTATTCCGTTTACATCAACAGAAGTGCCCATTGCTGGGCAAAGGACTCTTCTCACTCGAGAAGTTTTGAGTATTAATCATCACGCTTACTCATTTTTTTTATATATATATATTTATAATTAGAAATTAACAGTCTAGTTCTTCTTCACCGTTTGTAAGTACAGTCTTAATATTCTTTGAAAGTACACACATACCCAATATGTATTGGAAAAAGTCAAGTGGAGCGTTAAACTCCGCGCCATTACGGCATTATTATTCTAAAATATAGCTATAGGTACATCATACAATAAGCTTTACATAATCATTTACAAAATAATATTTCTCCTGATTTAATTTTCCTTCTAAAAACTGAGTCATTAATTTCACAAAACTGCAATGAGGTCGGGTCGGGATATAAATATGAGGAGATTACATCGCTATCCGAGGCAAATATCTTAATTGTCCGATCTCTTTAAGATTAATCCGCAGATTATCTTAACTTGGAATGCAAAATTTTGGAAGCGATTTCGTTTTTAAATTTGTACATAGGTTTGTAAATTAGAACACTTATTGCTTTAATTATATCATACTTAAGATTCGAATAAAAACTAGCAAGAAGTAGTTTACCCTTTAACTCTTAAGGAAAAAAGTATTTCTTCTGAAAAAGCCAGGAAGGAACTTATCCTCTGGTATTGCGGATGTCTGTCGCTTACTCTTGGGTGATCCTGACAGATCACTCATTTGCTTGTGATGTCATATAAAAATACCTTAGTTTCACTTGCCTAATGTCGTTGTAAACAGTCTTAATTCTAAGATTCATTTCATTTCAGATTTAGCGTAGACATTCCTAAAACTCGATTCTTTAATAAAATATGTAATACACCAAAAAAACGAAGCGTATTTATTTAACACAGCATTATTTACTTACTGAATTGTATCATCATTGATCATCATGAAAATCGTGAAATGAAATTAATGAATTTATTCTCTTTTCAGATTTGTACGGGAATCTGTTTGAAGCGGGTGAGTTAATCATTTCATGCCTGAAATTTAATCATATGCCTGAAATGCTTTCACTGAAAGGATTTTCGTGAAACCGCCATTGATTTTATGTTTGTGGACAGATTTGACTAGAGTGTGACTCGCTGGGCCGAGTTGGGGCCAATTTTTTGGTTGAAAAAAGTATTACTTAATAGGATGTTTTATTTAAATTTCCTAATTGATTAAACTGATAGCGATCAATAAAAGTATATGCGTTTTATAACAATATGGTAGAAAGGTGTATGTTATGTTTCAAGTCACTTTATCAAAATAGAATCTAAAATTACTGAATTAATTAGTAAATAATAGATAATTGAATCATAAATATAAAATTGGACTGGGAAAGCCATGCTTCGGCACAAATGAGCTGTATCGATCAAAATAATTCCACGGCTTCAACGTTTGCGCTCGCTGGTAATGCACCAGTAACTCTGATAGAGTGTCCATGGGAAGCGCCGATTGCTTACCATCAGTTATTCCTTTGTTGCCATAGACCATAAAAAATACATCGCTCCATATCTCAAAAAACACTAATTTATTTACCTACTGAAAACCTTACGCTACCTACCATAGAGTACCTAAAGAAGATTATTTTAATACAATATGCGAAGCAGCCTTTTAGAGAATGAGGCTACGGAGGCTCTATTAATAAATAGTCGATAGTCTACTTAGACACAAAGTGAAATTCATTTCAGCACAACCTTTGAAAGCTTATTACAGACATGTTCTTATTTATAGAATATTGGTTTGATGGTAAAACGTGATACTGTTGGGGTGGTTCCGAAGGTTAAGGGAATGCATGAGAAGTTTGGAACAGTTTCCGAGTTATATCTTCTATTTAAAAATTTACGCTACCTTACATACGGGGAAGAAAAACATTCAGAGGCATAAAAAGCCAAACCGCCTTGAACAAGCTTGGTTAATATTGATCTTTCCTTCTTTGTCTAAGAAGAAGCCTTGGATCTATACCCGCTAATAGGCTGATGCTGACCAAATATGCTGACAGAGGTTACAGAATGCAGGATCAGATATTAGTAGCAAGTGGACTGAATATTCAATTTTTTTTGTTCAAATAATAATAATATATTTATGTTTGTGATGATAAGAGTAAATATTTTTCCAAATAAGACCAGTAGACCTACCATGACGTGTCAAAGCGTGAATCTTCCGGGCAAGAAAGAGGGATGGAGCTATACAATAGCTCCATCCTCTGTTGTTGCATTGGTAACTTAATCTTTACGTAGTAACCTAAGCAAGCATTATTTTTATTACAATAATACAACAGAATTGCAATTTCCTTACGAAAGATAAACCTGTGGAGGTCGTAGACGAATGTTTTAGGGCCAAGTTAGTCATCAATATGACTGTGGTACTATCTATTGTTAATTGTTACACAATGAAAAACACACAGATTAGCAAACCTGATTATGAAACGTAATAATATAATTATTTAATGTAATACAAATTTTACTAATTCGTTACTGGTATTCTTTTCGACTGCACGATTGGCGCGATGGCTGGGCAACTAGCTGCCGCGCAACGTGTCGCGGGTTCGATTACCGCACGGAACAATTCTTTGTGTTATCCACAAATTGTTGTTCCGGGTCTAGTTGTGATGTGTATGTGAAATTGTATGTTTGTAAACGCACCCACGATACAGGAGAAAATCCTAGTGAGGAGTAACGTCTTTTTTTTTGAAAGAAAAAACTTCTTTCACAATATTTCTTGTCCAGCTTTAACAATTCTAGGACGCGAATATTTATAGAAACGTTTTGGTGAACGCAGTAACCGTGGACGCTGAAATATATGACAGCACGTAGCGGATAATGAGACGCCTATTTCTTGTGCAAATTACGAGATGAAGGCAAAAACCAATTAACTTTTTAAAGTAGGTTAATTAAAATTTATACAAGTGCGTACAGCTCAATGATTGATTGGAGGTTGAAAACATGTCTCACGCAGAAATGGAAAGGAATTCCAATAATTTCACCGAGATTTATTTTTAAAAATGTAAGTTGCGTCATGGTCACAGTCTTTTGTGGTGACTCCTGACAGCTTGTCGATAAATAACTTTATAAATATAAAAATAAAGTTTATTTTACACGAAAAGTAATTAATGGTCTTATAAAGCTATAATTTTATTCGTGGGCTTAATATCTTGCTGGCGGATGACAGTGAAACTGACGCAAATTCGTAATCCTGTCTTATTTTATCACGATCAAAGATAAGGAAGGAAATGAGAATAAGTATTAAATACGGATTTGTGAATATTTCGAGTCATTGAACTTTGCGTAAGGAAAGTTTGATATCACTTATTTATTCATTAGGCAACACTGAGGAATATTTACTATTAGTTTTATTAATTTCACAGTTGAAAATGGAAATAACCTCAAATGTTATCCATAAAAATAACACGGAGTTATTTCAATGGAAACTCCCCTGATCTACGGTTTAATACATGGATTAACTTAAACAATGATATCACGGTATTTTATCTAGGATAGTAACATTATTAGTTTGTTTAGTTTTCAATTTGGTAAACGAATTTTCCCTATTAATATATAAAAACTGACAATAAACAATAAACTAATTATTGGAATTGTCGCCTTATGACAAAATGTTTTTGTTTTTTTTTTCTATTTCTAAAAACTTTTAGGCGACGTCTACATTTATAATTTATATGACTAACATTAGTGAATACAAATATCTGTATTTTATTAGAACCTTAGTTACTCATCCTACCTTTTCCGAAGAAGAATAATATTAGAGTGGAATTGTGTCCCCTTAAATAAAACATGTCAGGTAAATTTGTCGATAAAAGCTTATAGTTAAAGCCAAAACAATTCAGAAGCCGTCATATTCTATTCTGTACCATAAAAACGAAAGTGAATCGGGGCAAAGTTTATTGTAATACAAACAAAAGCTTTTAAGCTGTCCATTCTCATAACAAATAAATTGTAAAAATCGATACGCTGTCCTCTATTGAACTTCATGTCAACATCAATGCCAATTTAGTTTCATTGATCTCAACAAAAAAACAACAATGTATTTAACCTAAAAGAGATCTTAAATCAACATTTTGAAACTAGCAACACTATTTTATAAACGGTAATACTCTGACTCGCTAGATAAAAAAATAAATAGCCAATAAAATGGCTGAAGTTTTCCGAACATCCCGTTGCGCGCCAAAACAAACAGCTCAATTCTTTTTCGATTCGATTTTTAAAACAACTTCATTTTAACGAGCAAGAGATATTTTCCTTAAACCTTGATCAGAATTCGACCGAGGTTGGTATAGCTTAAGGTAGCAGCACATTAAAGTAACCTATTTCTACAATGCATTTTCGATTTATTTGTAAATTGGCAAGGTTGAAAATGTACTAAAGCTTTTTGTTAGATTGGGATAGCTTGACGTGCCTTGTTACCTGGTAAACGTTAAGATATATGAAGCTACGAATGTTCTGTGGTTATGCCAGTAATCTTTGATTAATTCTGGGAAGTTTTTGAAGAAAAAGGTTTTGGTTGTAACATTTGGTTGTATGTTTTACTTTGTGGTATAAAAGGAAGCCATAACACGGTAATCCGGTTAATAAATCCTTTGGAAAATTTCCTCTGAATGCGTATTAGGTATAAGTTTAAAAGGGATTACGTCTTGACACAACAAAGAAATTGTATTTTACTATATAAGAACAACAGGAACCAATGGAGGAAACTTTTTCAATTCTCGATTGCCGAGTGAATATATTTTTCTTAAGGTAAGCGGTATTGTAAACGAAGATAATTAATAAAACGTCTTTTACATTTTCCTTAGTCTCGAGTCTTGAGCTGACTGCACGGTTGGCTCGGTGGCTGGGCAACTGGCTGCCACGCAACGTGTCGCGGGTTCGATTCCCGCACAGAACAACTCTTTGTGAGATCCACCAATTGTTGTTCCGGGTTTGGGTGTAATGTGTATGTGAAATGGTAAGTTTGTAAACGCACACACGGCACAGGAGAAAATCCTAGCGTGGGGCAACGTTTTTTTTAAAACAGAAAGAAGAAAGAAAAGTCTTAAGCTTCTAGACTCGATGTTAAATAGCATTATTTAAACACATATAGAGCCGAACAAGAGAAATTCCGATTTATTGCTAATTCCTAACCTTACCAAATAAAACGATTATTACTATGCAATTTAAGTCTCATTTTGGTTATCAAGAATTTTTAATCAATAAACCTAACATTGACAGATAAAATTCGTAAAGTAATGGAAGCCCCTCAAAGGATTAACGTCAATCAACTTATTAATATTGCATTATCTAGATTGATATAAACCTCTATAACAATCGCACTCAAAAATAAACCTTACGAGCTACACAACAGCGATCTTTAATTTAATATAATGAATAAAATGTGGAGGACTACTTTTTAATTAACGAAGATTAATTTTTATTAATTAAATACCAGGCTATTTGAGTCATTTCACCTACATAGATTATTTCAAAGTCATCACGGTCGAGCAAACGCATTGATAAGCATAAAATTTATTTAACCCCTAAATGTCGAAGATAGCAAAGGTTCATTGCATTGTTAACTAGTCTGAATCCTTAGAAACAAAACCAAATCAGTCTGAGCTCTAGACTTACTTTTTTTATAGAAATAAAGGTTGACTTCCAAATTAAAATATATCTTCACTGTGCTTATCGTTTTAAAACTAACGACATTAATCCTTAACACGAATTTATGTAGGTTTCGCCGCCCCGGACTGGAACAGGAGAACGTATGGGGTGGTTTTGACACTCCCTCTCGCTTTACTCAAGGTGGAAGAAGTCACTTGATGATTTTCCACGCTCAAAAAAAAAGACGATCGACGTAGACTGAAAATACACTACACTAGCTACTCTCACGCAGTTTCACCCGCTCGGGTCCATTTAATCGTAGCGTGATGTTTTATAGCCTATAGCACTCGGGAACATTGTAGATATCTATCAGTGAAAGAATTTTGGCAATCAGACATGCGGTTCCAAAGATTACCCCCGACATACAAACTTACAAATACATCTTTAAAATATTTGTAAAGATTTAGTAGTAGGTTTTAGGAAGTTTTTATTGTGATTTAATTTAGTTAGGTTTCCAATTATATTTTTATTTCTTCCTCAATTTTGTCTGTGTCTGTGTTTTTATTGGCCTAAGCAGTGTAATTGTGTGTATTCATTATCCTGTAATATCGATTTACCTTTTATACTTAAATTTAATTCAATGTGTAGTGCATCATGTACTTAACTGCAAGAGTACTCAATCGCTTGGTGAACCAAGTTATAAACAAAAAAAATATAAACTAGGTACTCGCCACTCGCCAACTTTCTTATACACGATCCATACGAGTTCTAAGTTAACAACATGAATGCGACACGTATCGTTTTCTATTAGAAATGTAGAAACACATTCAAAGGAAATCGTGGATTTAATCTTTATAGAAAAGGTTCGGAAACGTTTTCCTTTAGCTTTGGTATTTGGGAATATTGATCTTTGAGTACACATGA